CATAGCAGAGCAAAGTCCACTGTGTTTGTTATCACCAATGCAAGTGTTAAGGTATTCTGAAAAGAACATGTACATCTGCTAAATGGTAACTTTATTTAAATGTATACTTTGATCCCTATTTGATATTTTGTTCCTCCTATATCCAAGGCCACTATTTAATATAGAGTGAAAGCTCTCTTTTTTAAGAGCTCTCTGAATAGTTACAGAATATAGTTAGAAGTGAAAGTAACTAAGGAATAGGAATTGTTTTAAAACAAAATCAAGCACAGCACCAATTTTCCACTTTGCTTTTTTGCTGATATAGTTTTGCTGAAGAGTAGGATCACTCTTCAGAAAGGCAAAATTCAATGGAGAACTAAGCTCTGACGATGAGTGAACAGCTCTTTTGTTATTAGTTCTTTCACACAAAATAAATAAATAAAAAACAATCAAAGAACTGAAAAGATACACTATAGTAACAATTCTACATCTATCAAAATTGTTCTTGTACTTTTATTTCTCACACATTGTCTCTTAGTTATTTTAATTTTCTTACCTGTATATTATATTACCTACCCAGGTACCCGGCACTGTTTTGAAAGTCGGGTTACAGGACACCCATGTCTCTTTTTCTGTGAATCTGTTACTATAAGACTAATTAGCTGGTGTCCACATGTAAAAGTAAACACAAAAGCTTGTGTCTTCACCCTCCCTCTTTGGGCCTGATTCATTCTCAGTTTTAGGTAGGGATTTACAGTGATGCTGGGGATCCACAGTAGCAAAATCTGCATTTTTTCTGATACAGTATCCTAGAACTGGTTTTCTTTGTGTCTGTGTGTTTGTGTCTGTGTGTGTGTGTGTGTCTTTTTTTCTTCTGCTCAGGATTTTGTAGTAAAAGCTACAAGATTCAACTGTAGTCTCACTGTTAAAGTTGACTCTGTTGGAGAGTGGAGTAATACTGTCCTTATCAAGTCTGCTTATTTCTACTGTCTTGACCTCCTTTTTGTAGCTGGTGTGCTGCATAGTAAACCATCTCAGATAACTAATCTAGGCTGAATTTAACTTCACAAAAGTATGAGCTTAAAGTGACCATAAAACTCCAGCATTAACTGTATGATACAAATTCTATTTGAATAACCCTTATACTAGATTCTTTATCATATTGCATTGAAAGGACTTCCTCTTTCACATGTCATGTATTACATTATCTTATTTTCTTCAGTATACTCTATACTGTATATTAATATAGGGAGTCATATATTTTCAGACAATATACACTCATTTTTCTGTAATATTTCTGAATGACTCATGTTCTCTACTTTCTTTACCTTTCAGGTTTTCCAGTTACATTTTAGTCATTTCAGCAACATTTAATTTTACAATCTGGCATTTAGGAAGCTTCAAACATGGCTCAGCTAATCACCTGCACTCACCAGGTGAGGCTAGCCTGGGCCATCAGGGCCTTTAGGTGAAAATAGAGCCCTGAAAGGTACTACTACAATTGAATCTCTTTGGGCAAGAGCATGTGTCAAGTAAAAAAATGTCTGATTGTTGTCAAAGACTTTATAGTTACATTGTTAATATCTGCCAGTACAGTACATAAATACAAGCCTTAAATCATAAGACTATTCACTAAATAGCATCAAAGATTAAGAAATTCTGCTTACATAGTTTATCACCATTTTGAAAAATGTAAATAAGGAGAAATGGTGAATTAGTAGCAAAATATCACAAATAACAGGTTTTCATAGTCCACTACTGGGATTGAAATTAAAATATGGTATGGGACCTATTTTTGCTGTATGACTGGCTGAATCTAAAGACCACCAATACTGATCATCAGAAAACCTAAATATGCATTGTCTTTACTACTGCTGAATTGTTGGAGGAGTCAACTGCAGTTTGAATGGCCATTACTGCCTCATTTTCTGTCCTGAGATTTGATACATAATCATGTGTTTAAAATTCAAATGTCTCCCAAAAGCAGCATTTGTGTAGTAACTGTTTCAGCAAGAATGTAGCTTACCTAATAGCCTCTACAATAACTTCTGATATAGACCACTCTATATTTGCAGACTCTTATACCATGTAGTAGTTTGTATTTTTACAAAAGCTTTTTTTAATGTTTCACTCGTGTTTACAGAGAAGACCAATTTAAATTTACTTCTAAGCTTGAAATTGTTTCAACTACCCATTAGAAAAACAGATTAGTTTATCTTCTCCTATTGAAAATATTTTAGACAAATGTATTTTCTAAACTAACGTCTTCTTTTGAATATGCTTCTATACAAATAGCATGTATTAACTGAAGCAGGAGTTAGATATATAATTTTTGACAAAAAAAGAAAAAACTCCTAGTTCGTTTATGGCAAAGAACATGGATATAGATCAGGCTTCTTCACATCTTCTGAAGCTGTTTTTATAACAGTGTGTTGTAGTAGCTTCTCATAAGCTCTCCAACATTTAATGAACAGCATATTCTGATAAAAGGTCCACTTATTATTACCTATTTCACACATAAAAGTTACTTTTTAAAAATCAGATCTTCTTTTATCTTTGTTCAAAGTAATGTCTTTTTTCATAACTCATATCTGCACATCACTAATTGATTTAGTCTGAAGTAATCTAAGCCAATACATATATTGCAAAAGATCTGGAGCTGATGAATCCAGCTATGCTATGGTGTCCTGGTTTACTGGGACAGAATTTGAAACTCCCTTTTCTTTTGAGGAAAACTGCAACTTCATAAGGACTACAACACACTGTTTCACTAGAACAAAGTTGATAAAACCTTTGTTATAGTTTTCAGCCAGTCCTGGTATGTAGGTTGCCACAATGATCAAGTTATTCAGCAGTCTTGAGTTAACCAGGTGGAGAAGTTAGGAGGAGCAAAAGCCAGGGCAGGTGACCCAGGCTGACCAATTAATAATTATGTCATACCATAAATGTCACATTCACGATAAACTGGGGAGTTTGCTGGAGACAGCCCTCTTCCTCTCTCTCATGCTCCTTCTTCTTTCCTCTTCCATGGCTGAGATCTCAAGAGGGACTTGTTTACCACCCTAACTCAAGGCCTACTCCCCCACAACACTGGCTAGTATAACTCTGTATATTTTATATTATAACTCTTATTAATATTAGTTTTCATTATTATTATTATCTTATTAAATATATTTCTATTTCAAACCATTAATCTCCTTTCCTTTTTCTGACCCAACTCCCCAGGTGGGGAGGAGACACCAAGTAATAGAATAACTGTATAAACCAGGAAGGTTTATATAGAGAGGAACAATATGGATTCACATCCAGAAGTTGGTCTATGCAATACTATACAGTAAATAAATAATAATACATTTTGCCCATCTTTTTTAATCCTTACACACTCCAAAAATTGGGTTAGGAAGATGACATTTTTCACTTCCTGTACATGAAAATATATGTTCTCTTCAGGGTTTCCATTTTACTAGGAATAATTTGGGGAAATGTGGAGATGCTAGACCAATGATAAATAGGTTAATGAGTCATATATACCTTTTTGTGTTAGCTGTGCAGCACGCTTTCAGTGTGATCAAGAAAACTATAATGTGTCAAAAGGAACTTTACTTTTTAATTTAATGATTACAGCTGGTTTCAGCTTATATGTTTGATTAAAGACACTTTATATCTTTCAGTGTTACTTCAACATTTATACAATGCTTTACATCTTCAAAGCACTCTGCTGACATTACCTTATTAGTTCTTGCAATGCTTAGATGCAATTTGCAGTGTGCTTTTATATCACAGTCCCAATTTAATTGCTATTTAAAGCTGCATTAATTTTATTTATAATGGGCCATAAAAAAAGAATGTTTAACAGGAAAGCCAACAGTTTGTGTAGTACTTTTCTTAAACTACAAAATATTTTGATGTATGTGACACTTCAGCTTTAGCCTCATACTGAACTCTGCTAATGAGGTTTTTCAGGCCTGTCCTCCTCTAGCACGGCATGACGCATTAGTAAGAGAATGTCAGTGGCTTTCATTGCTGTCCTGGTGAAACTCCTTTTCCTGAACTTGCTGGGTGAACTGGAAAGCACTGCAAATACTGTCATTGAGGTATCAGTGCTTAGAGTTCACCCACTGAAGACATTGAACAGCACAGGAGCCCTGCCAGGCACTGGCCCTGCATCCTCTCAGGTTGCCTCCAGGAGCACATGGTTGTGACTCTCTGTGAAAGCCGTGCTGCCAGCTTTCATGGGAGTAACTCTTGGGGACAGTGCTTTTTCCCTGTAAACGCCATATAGTCAATTCTTAATGCTGCATTTAAGCTTAGTGAGGTCATGTTTTTCTCTTAAGTTTGCTTCTCAACTTCCAAAGTGCCAAACAGATTTCAGTCACTAGTTATTTGAACTTTTATCTGTTACTGCTTTTTCTTTATGTTTCTTCTCCTGTTATCTAAACATACCTTAGAAAGCATTGCAAGCTAATATTTATTGCAAGTTAATAAATATTTTTTGCTAATCATAAAATTAGATTTGTAGATTCTTGTACTGCTGAAACCTATATATAATTAAAATACATCATCCAGACTTAGTTTGCAAGGAAAACACTTCCTCATTGTTGGTAACTATATCATTATGAATTCCAGTTAAGCCCGATTTCATAGGTACTGATCATATACAGCCACTGAAGTGAAAAATTGCTCAGAGCTCCTGAAATTTGTCACTACTACGTAACTGAGTTACATAATCTCCCTTAAAGGTGCATGGTGTACATTGGCAACTCTTGGCAATCCTTGCCCAGTTACGGGACAGCCACTCCTTTCTGTCACCTAGTAACTTTTTAATAGTCAACATCAACTCAGAGTTTCTGAGCTAAAGTTTGATTTGTTGGTGAGTGTGAAATACAGTCTTTTTAAACTTTTTTTAAGGTTTTTTAAATGCTGTTTAGGCTACAAACACTAAACAGTCTGAACCAAGGACAAGACCTTGCGGAAGTGTTTGAACTGGAAAACAAATTGTAATAGTGTATTCTGAATATAAAATGGAAATAGCTGAAGGTAAGATTACAGCTGCAGGCAAACCAAGCCAATTACTGGAAAAAATCTGGAACGTGAACTTGCAAGCAAGAGATGTCCTTCTGAAAAGTGATCTGGACAATGAAGGTATAGTGGAGTATGTGCTTAGACTGATCTCTTTAACAAAAGAGCTGAGCAGATCTCTCAAGCAGCAGCTGGGGAACCTTACAGAAAGTATTCAAGAAACCTGCCACTTGCTGAGTGTTCTCCTTGACAAACACAAGGAATTGACTACAAATCCAGGCAAGTATGAAGGGATTTACCTGTAAACAGAATGGACTGGGTATGTTGGATGCTAGGTTCTGCTATGTGATGATACTGGAGGACCTTACCTTTAATTTGTTAGTATTTCAGAATTTGGTCACTCATTAGATCAAATCAGTTGATGTTCCAACAGTTGTATCACACTGTTTTTGAGTCTACTACATGAGACTCAATAAAGAGAATCATAATTCTCATTATGTGAGGAAAAAAAAATAATAAAATTAACTAAACAGAACTGCTTCAAAGGTTTATGTATATTATACTTTGCTGGGTTTATCCTCCTCAACAGAACAGGGGGAGAAAATAAAATGGAAAAGCCTGTGGGTCAATATAAAGACAGGAAAATCACTTACCACTTACCATCATGGTCAGAATGGACTCAACATAGGAAAAAAAATAAATTTGTTTATTACCAATTGAAATAGATTTGGATAGTGAGAAACAAAGGCAAAAAACCTAAAACAACACCTTTCCCCAACCCATCCTTTTTTCCAGGCTCACCTTCACTCCTTTCTCTGCAACTTACCTCCTTCCCCTCCCAAGGAGTGCAGGGGGATGGAAAATGGGGGTAGTAGCCAATACATAACAATTCCCCTCTGTCACTTCTTCCTCTTCACACTTTTGGATGCTCCAACATGGGTCCTGCCCACAGTTCCTATCAGGAACAGCTGTACCCTCCGTGGGCTGCAGTTCCTCCAAGGAATAGCTACCTGCTCTGGCGTGGGGTCCTCCACGGGCTGCAGAGTGAATATCTGCCTAAGACTGGTCTCCTGTGGGCTGCAAGGAAATATCTGCTCCAAGTCAGGAGCACCTTCTCACCTCCTTCTTCTCTGTCCTTGTGTTCGCAGGGCTGTTTCTCACACTGCCAGACTCAGCTCAGTGCTGCAGTGGGTCTATGGCAGAGCCAGCTGGAACAGACTGTGTGCAGCACAGAGCAGCCCTGGCCTCTCCCCACAGAGGTCACTCTCCAGACCCCCACGGCCAGCACCTCACCAAGCAAATCCAATATATATATATAGTCTACAGTCCTCTACAAATCACAACATAGTTAAAAAGATAAAAGTAAATATAAAAAATTCTGCCATCTTAGTGCACAAGTAAACAGATGGAATTTAATTTCTTGCATTTATAATAAAGATGTGGATATAATAATGGTGTTACCTATTGTAAGGACTAAATCCAGATTTTATTCCTGAAAAAAATGCAGGATCACTTTGTGACTAGTGAAACAACTCTCTTTCCACAGGAAAAACATCTTAACAAACATTCATCAAACAACACAGTATATAGACAGAGAAAGAAGGAGACTCCAGGCAGAAAACTTCAGCTATGCCCATGTTTATGAGTCTTTGTTCTGCTGGTTTATAAAGTGTCCTCAACAACAAAAGAACATTTTCTTAAAAAAAAAAAAAAAACACAAAACCAAAAATGGTCTGCTTCCAAGCTCCAAGATCAAGCTAACTTTGCCCTGATGGCCTCATGGCCTATGTGATTATTTTATCAGATTTCTAAGAATTCATTTCCATTCCCCTTCTTAAAAGCTTCTTTTCCTCATCTGACACTTTCCCATAAAACAGTCAGCAAAAAGGTTTGAAGACGGTTATGTATAAAATGCCAGTGTATTTCAAAGCCATGTTATCAAACATCAAAAAAAGCACAGAAAGCAAAGTGTTAGAAAAGCGATGGTGGCAAGGGGGAACATAAAAGAAGGCTTATTTCAAGGTTAACATTGAAAAGGGTCTTCACGCAACGCAGTTGGGTACTGTAAAGTTACAAGGCCCTGTCTTTGCTTGGCTTTAAGCACTGCAGTATTTGAAAAGTCACATTCACAGCAAAGGAAAATGTCATTGTTTTGAATGACCATGTTATCTTCAAATTTGATTTTAGGGAAGTTTAAGGAGTTGTATGATTTGTTTCGGGGTTTTTTTGTTTAGTTTAGAGAACGGAAAAATTCAGCAAGGAAACAGTGTAATTCTGGCAGTTTTGCTGAAGCTTGAACTTTGACTTACAATGAGACTGGGATGTGGTCTTTTACAAATTCTTATGCAAATGAAGATATGTTATTCACAACTCTTTTGCTTTATTTCTCAGCCCTGTTAAACTATTTAGAAGTTCTTCTTCACTATTGTAAAAGTACCTCTAGAAAAACAGCAGTACCTTAGAACAAACTTTTTTTTTAACTACCACTGGGAAAAAAAAACAAACAGTGTTAGGTTTTTTTTAATATAGTCAAAATCCAATAACAAGTCACCTGAGAATTGGAGTAATTTTTAGATTGAGTTCAACAAGAAAAAACTTTGTTCTGAACTTTTCTCTTTGTAGGCCTAAATTAATCAGGTGCAAAGAGAGATGAAAGTGAAAGGCCTACCTAGATCATATAACATCACACATTGATTTGTGATGGCATTTTTACTCAATAAAATTATTTTCTAAGTTGAAAATCTTGAGATATTGATTTACTTCATATGATGTTATTAAAAAAAGAGAACGTAAGCCATTGGTTACCCATGAGACTTGTATCAGCTCTTTCCATTGTCCTTTGCTTGTGTCTCTGTCCATTATAAGTGAAAAGCATACCATACTGCATTTCATTCTGTACAATAGTCTTATTTTTATTGACTTTCACTTGATTTAACCTGCAAAACAAAGCTTTTCAGTGTCTCATTCAGCAAACAGAAATAAGCAAGATTTTTTCAAAAAGGTTTGCAATATACCTAACTAATGAAGACGCAATCCCAGTTACAGAAATTGACAGCATAACGTGAGGGGAGAGCTGAAAGAAATATACCTGAGATCCTTAGAAAGAATACCTGGAAGGATTTCTAAGAAAAGGTGTAAGATAAATAAAATGAGGGATCATGATACAAATAGGTTAAATAGGTTAAATCTTGTATGAATGGTACATAGTGATTGTGTGCTTTTTGTGCATCCTTCTTCACCAAGTACTTTTAGTTATAGACAGGAGCAACCTCAACCATTCCTATAACTGGATGCTACAAACTGCTGAACTTCAGTATTGCATTTGTACTGTTGTTATTCTGTTATCCTTTTGAGCCAGTAATGTGCCCTTGTGGCCAAGAAGGCCAATGGCATCCTGGGGTGTATCAGAAGGGGTGTGGTTAGTAGGTCGAGAGAGGTTCTCCTTCCCCTCTACTCTGCCCTGGTGAGACCACATCTGGAATATTGTGTTCAGTTCTGAGCTCCTCAGTTCAAGAAGGACAGGGAATTACTTGAAAGAGTCCAGTGCAGAGCCACAAAGATGATGGAGGGAGTGGAGCATCTCCCTTATGAGGAGCAGCTGAGGGAGCTGGGTCTCTTTAGCTTGGAGAAGAGGAAACTGAGAGGTGATCTCATTAATGTTTATAAATTTGTAAAGGGCGAGTGTCAGGAGGAAGGAGCCAGGCTCTTCTCAGTGATAGCAAATGACAGGACAAGGGGCAATGGGTGCAAGCTGGGGCATGGGAGGTTCAATCTGAACATAAGGAAAAGCTTTTTTACTGTGAGGGTTACAGAGCACTGGACCAGGCTGCCCAGAGAGGCTGTGGAGTCTCCTTCTCTGGAGACATTCAAAACCTGCCTGGATGCGTTCCTGTGTGACCTAGTCTAGGTGATCCTGCTCTGTCAGGGAGGTTGGACTAGATGATCTTTCGAGGTCCCTTCCAACTCCTAATATTTTGTGATTCTGTGATCCGGTTTTCCATAACAAAAATTTGAAGCTGCTAAGCATCTTTGACATTGAGCCTGTATGTAACAGCTCTGTTACAGACCCCATGCATTAGAATCTTGCAGGATTCAATTTTAGGAAATATATATAATGAATGTTTAGTTTTAAAGTTCTTTCCAAATTGATTTTACTATTATTTCCCAATTCCAGATTGATTGTCATTAAGAATTTAACTGGTGTCTAAAGGTCGCTAGAAAGGTGATCATTAGAGTTGCCACAGTTGTACTTTGTTGTAATTGTACACAAATGTACTTGTCCGGATTCAGATCTTCAGAAATTCACTTAAATTCCATAGAAATAAATGCAAAAATATTAAATGGAAGCCTAGAAATATTTTGTGCTTCATGCACTGAATGGCACTATGGTAGAATTCATCAGGTATGTGTATAAGAGTTTTCACATTTTTGGCTAGCTTTCATAGTAAAATTCCTATTACCTATCTTTTTCCTCAGAGTACAATGGAATTATAAATTGTCTGCAGAAAGTGAAAAATTCTTTGATAGATACAGTCTCACACCTTCAAGAGGCAGAAAATAAACTTTATGCTGCTAGCCACAGACAAGATGATGATTCTCAGATCGAGACTGCTCAAAATGCTTCTAGAGAAATGGATGTGTGTTGTCCTGAAGGAGAAGCAACAGAGTCTGTGCAAGCATCTTCTAGTCCCAGTCAGCAATCCCAAAAAAGTTCTTCCCTGAACAAGACAGAAAGTCAGAATGCTCATCAAATCCAGCCAAGGGAAACTAAAACTGTGGAAGAAGACACCATTGCATCTTTAGGTGAAAATGTATATGCTCGAGATCAGGACCGTGGCAAAAAACCTCCAATTAAAAAGGAAGATGGTGAACACAGACTACTAGTGAATTGCAATGGAAAGGATAAACCTCATGGAGGTAGCTCTGTTTCTGAAAAGTCTCCTGAACTGTCTTTTCAAGATGTTCTTATGAGTAGTGGGGAAGGCACGCTGTCTGGGACATTGAAAGATATTTATGACAGAACTGTCACATATCTTTCTGAACAGGAAAAAAAGGAAGTTGTCAAAGAATCTCCAAAAGGGGTAGAAAGTGAAGAACACAGACTGACAGAGCAAACAGAAGGCAGTAAAATGGAAACAAATAATCAGATTTGTAGGAATGACATAATCACCTTTACATCTTCAGCAGAAACATGGGATCTTACTGCTGTGAATCCTCCTATGACTGATTCTGAAGTACAAAAATCTAGGCACTGGATGAGCAAAGAGTAAGAACATATTATTCTTTTTAGGAGCAGATATACATAAATTTGCTTAGTAGCATACATACAAATATCTGTGAGCCCAGAAACTCAATATGCATGTATTGAACAGCTGCTGGTCATGCACATAATAGCAGTTTACAGTTTAAGCATGCGCAGTGAAGGGATTCCATTTCATCTAAAGTAAACTATAACTTTCTGTTTGCATAGATTTTTTCAGTTTCTCTCTTTGCCCCAGAGGGACTGAGTCACAGCCTGTAAATTCACTATTTCCCAAATTGTTGGAAATCAGTAGGAAAGGATCCAAATTAGTCAGTTTTATAATAATTTGTAAGATATTCTGAAACAAGCTAAACATAAAAATTTTCATGCTTTTCAAATCTATTCATACACTTTTATGAAAGAACTGTACTGCAATGTAGTACATCATTATATTAAAGTATTTAGTTAAAAATACAAGACACCATCTCACCCTAAATACAAAGAATAATATTTTATATTCTCTTTCTCCAGGTTTCTAGTGGAAAAAACTGGTAAGAATGAACATGAAGTAGCTTGTCTTATTAAAGCCTCTGCAACTGCTCTAGAAAATCTCAAGTGTAAGATAGTCAATGACACTAGTTCCTTGGTGGTGGGTGATTCTGAGGAGCTGATCAGCAATGTCATCAGCATTGAATGCTCTGATTATGAGAAAACAATTCCTTTCCCTATCAGCATTGCAATCCCATTTACTTCATGCTTCAGAGGAAATTATCGGGAGATTATGGTGAAGATGACTGATGTGAACTTTCAATCAAACTACGTAACTCCTGTTTCTTTGGAGGGATACCAAGAAAACCATAAGGTTGGTAACCTTTCATCTAAGCACTGTAAAAACATCATACCAGGTTCCTAGTTAAGCCTCTGTGGAGTTATACAAGCAACATTGTCATTATGAAGCCGTATTGCCCACTGTGTGGGCTTAAATTGAACTTTTCTTCCTATTTTCTTAAGAACTAATTCTATTTGAAGCCTACTATTAGATCCTTTTTTTCACTCATAATGTTAAGTCAAGTGGTTGATCCCACAATACTAATGATTGAGTAATGGTTCATTATTTTTATAGATAAATGTAATATGTTCTATCGTTTGATAAAAGTAAAACATAAAGAGAAACTATTTTGCATTCAGATCACAAAGAAGTAACACAACTCTGTGTGTATAAGTCCAAATTCCATCTCAAAGAAACACAGGATGGTTCTTTTTTTTAACTGCAGAATTGCTGCATTGGGTCAGATTCATCAACCAGTTTACAAGCTTATTTCAGTTCACCTCAATCACACACTGGAATATTAATGACATCACATGATGACTAGAGATCACCAGATAACTGAGCATCCAGGTAGCAGTAATGTTTAATTTATTTTCATTTCACAGCTTACTCTGTACGTAGTGCCGCCTTCTCAAAATGCTAATCCGCTGAGGAACACAGCTTCCTTTCCCTCCAATGTACTCTAACCTCACATTCTCTTTATGCAGGAAACATTTGCGGAAGTGAAAATCTATCAGCTGGGTGTTTTTTCTGTGCTGTCATGCTTAAAGAAGGAAACATTTATTGTTCCAAAGCTAGGACTGTCACAGAAGTTGAGTGTGGATTCTAGAATCTCCTTCTGTTACCGTCCAGAAACATTCAGTTCTCCAGCACCCATGCAGTTAAAGGTGAGCTCAAAATTTGCAATACTTGTTCCATAAGTCTGTTATCTGATCAGTTCTGAAGCAAAGATGCCAGTAATGTTAAAGGGCAACCTGTTCCATTATTAGAAGTGAAAAGTGATTGCAGTCCCACATCCTGTATACACAGCAAATGCTTTCCTGTCGGCTTTGTTAAAACCACATAACAACATCAGTAATCAACAGTATCTCTAGCTAAAAGGAACCGCCTACCTTTGTTTAATATACTTCAGAAAACACAGTTGTTTTCAATGGTGACATAAGCATCAACTCCAAACTTCAACTGCTTGACTTGGTTCATGTTAATGAAACAATTTTTCTCTCCTGACCTTCATCAGTTGTACCAGGCAGTGCAACAGAAGGTTTTGTCACTTCTTCTAAAAATTGGCTTCACTTATATCATGTTTCTTCCTTCTTCCATAAAAGCATTGATTCTGAGGTATAGTGAAGGTAAAAGGAACAGTGAAAAAAATAGAGATTTGAAAATTCTTAGAAAATTATCAAACTCTGTGGAAGCTCAGAAATTTCAAAACTTGAACTCAAATTAGGAACAAAACAATAAAAATATTTTAGTCAGTAAAGGTTCCAGTTTTTGATGACTTTCAAGCATTTGGTTGTGCACTGTATAAAGTGCTAATATGTTTGTAGAGTTGCTCCTGGGTTATAGAGAGGAGCCTAAAGTTGTGCAATAGTCTAATTCAATTCCAAAAGATAAATACATTTGTAAAAAAACCCACAACCAAACAAACAAAAAACAGGCATGTAAGAGATTTATTAATGTACAATTGCTTTCCATATTTAGGTTCAGCCAATTGAACCATCACTGGTTTCAACATTGAAAGCAAGACATGATATGTACCATTCAGTGATATCTACTAGTGCGCTGATTTATGTCCAGCATCCTTCAGCCCAACCATTTAACAGCTCAGTCACTATTACTCTACCCTGTCCTCCAAATCCAGAAAACAAAAGGCAAGGAGATGAGAAAGAACATGCGAGAGCTGTTAGTGCTGCAGTAAAGAGGGTTGCTATGGCATATCATCCTCGGTAAGAGCAACTTCACTACAAATTCAACACTTTCAAAACATCAGAATGAATTCATTTTAACAGTTACTGATTAATAATATTTTGTATTAAAATATATTATTTACTTAATACAGTCTGCTATAATTTGAAACACTGTTAGATGCACTAGAGCAAATCCCCAAAATTCTCATGCTATAGCTTCACCAGGAAAGTTCATATAGCATTTGATACATAATCTTTAAATATGCTGACCACTATATTTCTAGCAGGGATCAGAATGAAAAATGTGTGGGTTTTTTTCAGCAAGAAATATCCAGCCATTTTCACCAAAGCCAAACACTGAACATAGATAATAACCATGTCTCAAAGCTGCTGTGATCATTACTTTCCTATTCAGTGGTTTGACTACCCTGGCCTTTGAATTTTCTGATCTCAACTTCTACACATTCCAATGGCTACCTGAGTCAAAATTTCTAACACAATGATTTGGAGTAGCTCCATTTTGTGGTAATTGCCACACTGCATAAAGGCCCAGATTTTTCCAAAGCACTCACTATAAAATTTCTAAAACCTAGACCTTTTGGAATTTTGAAAAAAGCTTTTTGAAAAAGCTGACCAGATGTCAACAATATAAATAGTGCTTTTCACCATTTCACACAGGACAAAAATCAATCCGAACTTACCATTTGATTGTTGTTCTTGCAGTTCTGCTGCCATGGGCAACTCCAGTTTCAGAAAGGCTTACTGGGATTTCTTGACAGGGGATAGCTCGGGATAAGCTTTAAAGTACTTCTACTTTAGGTCATTAAAGAGTTAGCTTATTCCCACCATGCTAAACATTGTCTTTTCTTCAAAATTCATCTACCCACCAAGATTATGATTATCTTGAAAATAAGTGAGGTACAGATGGAGAAGGCAGACAATGTTCCAGCTATCCATGTCTGAAAAAATTCTCTTATCATGTTTTTAAGAGCTCTATGCTCACAGTGGTCACTTAGACTAGATATCCATCTTCAAACTTCAGATTTGAAAGGGTGCCCATGTCAGTTTACAGGAGATTCAAATTTCATTTCCTGGACCAAAAGCATTTCATTGTGTGGCAGTACCCTCATGGCATCTGTCTGTTCTTAATACCAGTTTAAATGACACTTCAGATTCTCAGTCAAATCATATCCATGAACAGACCATGGCTTGATTGCCTATTTCTATACAAATTCCTTGGAAAATTACACCAGTGTTTTCCTGTATTTGCACATAGGTTGAGGCTGTAAGTTTGAGAAATGCTTAGGCTGTCCGGTCTGCAGTGTTTTCTTTTTTTAATTGTACACAGGATGTGCATTTGAGGTGAATAGGCTATTGACATACAGTTTTAAAAAACCTGTTAAGGAGACGTGTGTGAGAGGAGAGGTATGTGCTTCTGTAAAATAAATGTGATGTTTTATTCATTAGGATAAATTATCTGGACCACTGTCATGTCACAGGTGCTTAATTCTAAGTGTAATATCAAAGTAATCACCGGATTTGAAGAGAAGCTATTTTTATTTTCCCTGTTGAAAGAGATAATGGATAACAGTCATGTCTTATTTTCTAAATTCCTTTGTGGTTATTGAGTAATATTTTCTTCTGAAAGAAACAGTGGGTGGTTTGGGTTTTTTTTTCAGTTATCTACTTCTAGAGAATCTACATCTTGATGAATGACTCAAAAACAATCCTTGATAATTGCTGTGTATGATATTAAACAATAGATTAAAGTCATTTAGATTGAAACACTTTTCTTTTTTTTCCCCTCTTCTTTCTGAAGAAACAATAATTTAAAAAAATCTTAACAATCATATTACATACTCTAGAGTGTAGTTCCAGATGTAGATCTTCAGCAAGGTGGGAAAAACACATATATTCCTCAAGAAAAGTAGAAGTGAAAGCAAAGTTACATATACAAGTTTATGCTTGTACTTATTTATGTATAAACTGCAGAATTTATTTTTCACTGTACTTTTTCCTATAATATCTTGTCTTTCCAGGGCTGTGAGTGCTTCTGTGAGAAAAAATGGAGAGAATCTCAGTGATACTTTGAAATTACTGGGTCGCAGAAACAAAGAAGAGGGGTGGAAGGTGTTTGATGATGTTACTATCCAGAATGCACGGAATGGACTTGTATCATTTGAACTAAATGAGCATTTAGAAAGGTTAAATTATTAATTCATTAATTCATTATTAGATTATATTTGCTAAAATATTTACTTTCAAGTACAAGGATCAATGTAAATTAGTAGAGTTAAGAAACATCTGGTAGTAATTATTGTCTTGACAGCATCTTTCTCTACTTTACAATATAAAATCATATAGACTTGTTACTCATAATTACAGAAAATATAAATTTAAAAAAATATTTATTCATCTATAGACTTTACACAATGTAATATATACAAAACTTGAAACAGAAAATGCAGGTATTAATCTTAATTTGAAAATGTGATTTATTATTTAGCTCTTTACAAAACCATGATTTTTTTTTTAAATTTCTTATTAGGAAATATTCTCTTACTTTCATCTAGAATTCATGTGTATTTGAATTCATAGATACAGAGCCAATATACTCTACACTACAGAAGCAGGAAAATTTCCACCCTTTCATGTTGGAAACAAGAATGAAAAGGAGGTAGCAAAAGGTCTTTTTCAGGCTGAGCCCAGTATTATTTTGCATAACAATTTGTTAGCAGTTGATAAAATGTTTTAAGATAGAGCAATTTATGTTCTTGTCCATTTTTTTTTTTTTAATTACAGCTTTTTTGTCATTCGCCTTCTGTTCCTCTTGGAAAACACATATCTTCTCCTCTTTGCTCAGGCTATGGAAGAAGCTGTACGTAGTACAATGGCTAATGTGATACTGTATCATAAAAGAGAAAACCCCCATAAGATAGTAGTTTCGCTATCTGCTTCCAAAGAATTGACCTGGGAAATTCAAAATCTCCATGAGGAGGGCTACTTTGGTCCCCCAGAACCTACACAGCAGTTCCCATTAAGAGAAGGAAAGCAGATTCATTTCAGATTTAAGGGCAATATTTTTGCTTCAGGTAAGGTAATTAATTCATGCATCTGGATGAACATTATCAATCACCTCAGATGTTCAGAAATACTGTATGTGAACATTAGTAGATTGTGGTTAGTCACAGCACATTCAGCTCTTCCGGTGTTTTGTTTCTTGTAGATGACAGGTGCATGGAACTACATGGGAACTCTCTAACTGAAAAATAAAATGTACTAGATGAGTAAAATCCTGATCAACCTGCTCAAGATGACACTGCTTTGAGCAGGACAGTTGGACAAGATGATCTTCAGAGATCTTTTCCAACCTCTGCCATTCTCTGTAACCTGGTCCCTCGGAAACAGCTAGTATTTTATAATTTATTTCAAAAGTACAGGATTCCATCGATGTCTTTTTACTATAAAGATCTCTTTATAGGAATTAAACAGATTCCCAACAAAAAGAAACAGTCTGCTATTTTATCTGTGTAAAGTCATATAAAGTGAGCAAAATTAAACTCTGAAATCCAGGGCAAAATTTGTTTTTTGTCAGTTGCACTATGAATTGGGGTGACAAGAGAGAGTTGTTATGCCATTTGCATTAGCAGCTTCAAAAATTCCATACAGTAGCTACCACCATTCACAGATTTGCTTAAAGGGAGAAGAGATAAGAAGCCTCAGAAAAATTTTCACCTGAACTTATGTATAGTCTCTTCTGCCAGTTTTGGAAAGAACATATAAATATATATTTGGCCCTGTGATCATTTTGTACATAAACTCTCCCATTAAGAATTCTATTTACCCTATGGAAAGGATTATTCTTCAACAAGAGAAGTCTCCAGCCTCCAAGGAATACCTGCCTATCTATGCAATGGATATTGTTATAGATGTATCAATTAAAATGGAATAACAAATTCCAAAAATGCACCTACCTCTCATTTTGCTGTTGCAGATAGATATTCATCCTGAATAACCAGAAAACTTATACTTCTAATTCCATTCACAGCACTGTTTTAGTTTTATTTCTTTCTGTATTATATACTTTATCCCCTTCCATGTTCCTCACTTTTCAACTTGTAGCACAGCCTTCATCGCTTATGTCCAGAATTCAAGGGCAAAGGGCTAATCATGAAGACACTTCAGCTATTGGAGCAGGCTGGCAGGAATGTTTGGATGTCAGATGTTGGATATAAAGTAATAATAATGAAACAGAACAATCAAATGTTATGTGATTTGCTCTATTTGAGTCACCCTAATGAATTATTTTAGATGCCACCCATTGAAATACAGTGTAAAAAATTATTTTTTTGTTTTTTTGTATGGACTGCAGAGAATGGAAAAGATTTTGGAAATGTCTACAGGCTGATTTTTCATTCAAAAAGAAAACCCAGGCTGGAGCTCCAAATTAAAGAAGTGGATGAATTCGGTAACCACAGTTCACCTCATTACAAAGGAACAGCAGTGTTTTATAAAATCACCAGAGAGATGATAATCAAGGAATGGGAACAACCCTTGCCATATGGTGACTATCAACATCAGTCTCCACTGTGTAAATTATCACTAACGTTACCAAAGGTGGGTTTCTTACTTAATGATGTTAGAGATCTTTCCTGTTTTCCCTTAGTACATATTTGTTAGGCAAAAGGATCTTGGTATGATTTTTGCTTTACACATGTAAACAGGAGCAGTTCTGATCCATCAACAACGTACAAAACACCCTCAGAATTTGTCCTAGGAGATCGAAGGGACTCTCATCCAAGCATAAGCTTAGAAAAAAAATGTTTAACAGAAGTTTTTCACCCATTTGCTCTCCCCAGGGGGTATGACCCTGAGAAATTACTTCTTAAGTTTCAGTTATATACTTCTTGTATCCTTGTGTTGATAGTGCAGAACTACAGATTGCAGGAGCATTAACTGGTTCATGTAATCTTTCTTCTATCACTTGATTTTCTTATTATGCCTGATAAACCTCTGCAATACAGCCATGTGGGCATTTATCTCCATCTCTGGTAAAAGATATTGCTACATAAATTAATCTTTAATACTCCTGCAATGAAATCTCATTTTAATCTTTTCATAGATCCTAGGTATCAGCACTCTCTATTGTACAAAATGCTGCTGCTAGAGTACTGCTATAAAATTTACATATATTTTAATATCAAAATATGTACAGTAACACCTGGTCTAAATCTGTGTTGACAAGAAGTAGCATCTCTCTCTTTTTGAATTTAATTGACTTCACTCTTCCTTATGCTATCATCTACAAATAAGTCTTTTATTTCATAAGCATATTATCTCTTGATTTCTCTCTCATCTCCATTCTCTTAAGTAAAAATTAAGAACAGTTAAATGGAGAGGATTCTAAGAGATTTCTTTTAATGACAAAGTTCATATAAAATGTAAGGGGTTTTTTGAGAATCAAATGCTTTCAAGCACTGTGCGTTTCAACAGGGTTAGCAATCTATGTGCAGTATTCACAGAGAGGGAAATACAAACTCTTGAGGTCCAATGGTATGATTAAAAAGATAAATAAATCTGTGGCACACCCTAGGCATCTGTTAGGTTTCTTCCATCCACCTGCCTAGCTTCCATCACATTGCTCCACTTTATTTAATTTTACTGCATAAAAAGAATAAGATATAAAATATTTAACTGCGTTTGTATGAAACCATAAAGGTAATTACCAAGTGTCTTAGATTTGGGTTGGCATATTGGTATACTAATATACATATTAACCCTTATATGTTCTATTCAGACTTTTCAAAACAAATATTTCTTACTACCCCTTTTCTCCTACTAAATTTAAGTCCTTGTTTCCTCTTTCCCAGTGTGGCTATGATCTTGAAGTCTGGTCAGTCTATGGAAGTGTGTGATATCTAATATTTGGGCAGCCTACTCATTTAAATAGAAATAAACAAAGGAAATATATAACATGATCATTGCTGGTAAATTAGAAAGGAAGTCAAGCATAAGGAATGGTGATAGACTTTGGGAATATTTTCTCTACATCTATTTTTTGAGTAGTGGCTCTACTTCCAACTGAATCAGTTCAAGCACAGAGGGCACAAGTTTGATGCGCAAAAAGTCTGCTTAGAGAGACAGATTCATTATATCCCTTCAGAAAATTGATGTTGCAGCATCCCACAAATAATTTTTATTTTGCTTCTGGTAAATACATTTTAAGAGATGCATTTCAAAGGAGTCAGATTCTTCATTAATTGCAAATATTAGGCCAAAAAAAGTGATCAGAACGCTTGAAAACATTGAAACTTAAGTTATTTGTATTTTCTGTTTTATACATAATGAAATACCTTTCCATAGGATGAATAATATCAAAATAACATCTTCTGTTATGTTGCAAGTCATCTTAGTATACAACATATTTTTTTATAGTTGGTGAACCCTCCATACTTTTTGATCTATCTTCCATCTATCCACTGTACTAATTTAAAATTAATAATGCCTAAAGTCTCTTTTTCTAGTACAGAAGAAATAGTTCTTAATAATTTAGCTAGTTCAGTTATAATGTTTTTGGAGAATTATAATACATCAATGAAGCTGATTATTTGACTTTAGTGAATAATTAGTAAATTAAATATAACATACCTCACAATTAGTATACGAATATACAAGGAATTTCACCTACATCAGTATCTAGTGGTATGTAACTCTCATTAACACAAAGTTATACTGTTGTTCACTCTTTTGCCCTTTATAACTTCTTCTAGCCAAGTAAATCTTGAATTCCGTACTGAACAAACTCAGAGAAATTGTCAAAACAAAAAATATTTTCTTTCGGCTTTTTTTGCTGGATGAAACATAGGAAAAAAAGAGTAGGAAAAAGCAGTTGATTTTCTCAAGGAAAGATGATTACTAGTAAAGTCCCACATAGAAACATGCTAACATATTCATTAGAAACTTTTGAATAATTAAGTGAAAAGTCTAATGACAGCACAAAATATTCAGGGTGCTAAAGTGTGAAGAATTCTGTGAAGAATCACAGAATATGATGATACTGAGCAACTAGAAAATAAACTAGATTAGATAATTTAGATGACAATAAGTGTTTTGTTGGAGCGGAAGTGCATATCTAATTTTATACTGATAGACTCTAAATTGCTATTACCACACAAAAAAAATCTTTGGTCATTTTGCTCTCTGAAAAATTCCAGAGCATTCAGCAACAAATAAAAAAGAAAGCAGAATGTTCCAAATTATTAGAGAACAAACCTGAAAAGAAGATTATGCCATACCTATGAGACATCCACATCATGGCTGCACTCCACAGTTCTGGTCACAGAACTCAGACAGAGGATGTGGAAGAAGAGGAAAGAAAGAAAGTGATCAGAAACATGGAGCAGTTCTAGTTAGAGGAACAGTACATTGATACAACACTTCAGGCAGTTTTGACAGAAGTTGAAATATTGTGTACACGTATGAATATTATGGAAGAACTGAAAAAGGAATTGTTATATCCCCTTTCATAGGTTATAAGAATAATGGTATTGTTAAGTAGATGGTGTAACCAATAATATAAAGTAACATACTTTTTACATACAAAAATAAACAAAAGGTGAACTCTTTCACAGAATATTTGCAGCAGTTAAAAATGTGTTTGAGTTAGAAAAGGATTTGAACGGAAGAGAGACAGAACTAGATATTAAATGTAATGATCCAGATGCAGTTAAATGCCAGAGGAATGAAAAGGAAATTCTAATTACTTACTGTATCTTATTATGTGTTCTAAAATTATTAACAGTGATGAAAGCACAGACAGTAAAAATTGACATAAGAACTTTTATACTGTTTTACTATCCATGATCCAATAAACATACTTGAATCAGATATATCTTCACATTTAGCTGGACTTTCTAATGAATAAAAGAAATAGAAAGAAATAGTTAAAATTGGATAAGAAAACACAGTTAGGAAGAAATTTAATGCACTAATTATACAAAAAACTGCACTACTCATCTGTCAAATGTAACTGCTATTTACCACTTCATGAAGTGCAAGTCTTGTGTTAATGTTCACATAATACGAACTAAGATTGGCACTGTCCATAATTAGTCATATGCTGATGCTCTTAATATATATTGTCAAAGCACCTAAAGCTATCTCATAACATTCATGTGTTTAGACATACACTCAAGAAATGATCCTGCAATTCTGCTGATTTCTATCAATCATATACTACTACAGTACAGCAATTGAGCTGCCACAAATCTTGCAAGCAGATCGATACATAATGCTCATTGTTCATATCTGACCTATTGATAAATGCTGTGTTATTTATAGCATTGCTCACACTAACACAGCTGCATACAGAATTCTAGTTGTCACAGCAAGGCTCTCATGTCTTAATTGTGAACTACTTGACTCTAAGCTGTTGATGGACTTCTCACTTGCTCTCACTATGCTGAGGAAGCCTTTCATGGTTTGGGAATAAAATCCCCAAAACAGTAGTAAATGCAGTGCAAGAACAGAAAGACTATTAACATTTCTACTACTTTTTTGAATTAATAAATATCTTGTTTAGTTTAACCATGTTAATGGATTAGTTTTAATACACATGAAATCACAAACACCCAGTGTTGCTAGTAACTATAGAAATTTTCTCAGCAAAATGAAATGAAGTTTTGGCTTGCCTTTTTTTTTTTTTTTGTGCTTCCCCACCCACCAGATGATAAAGTTAGAATCATCGACAATGTCTGATTTTGGCTGTGACAAAGACAGATGGAATATTTTAAGGCTACCATTTTGACTACATTTTCACTAATTTTTCTAAAATTCTAACCTAATTTTCTCTTGAACTGTGGAGAGAAGACAATAACTATGTAGGTTATAAGCCATTTTTATATGTATGTGCTCACATTATCCACTCTCTTACAAATATATTTCTGACAGTGGTCAAAGCAGTGCTTGTTTACTTTGTGTGCAACCATTCACATCAATTTTTCGTTTAAAACTGCTACATTTGTACAGAAGTAAGATGATCTTCACTAACAATTCCTATTTACAGAGCTTTCATTCCCTCAGCATTAGAAAACACTAGTTGATCAAGCCTGCTATTTTCAAAACAAATTTAATACAGTGGATTAGGTTCTGATATCAAGTATGTGTGTGCTTATCAGTAATATTTATACTGGTTTTGAAGCAGTGGTATTTAAGTGAATCTAGGCTAGAGAGCTTAAAAGGTTAATTTCTCCTTTTCTGTCTGCCTGTTTGATATGCTGCTACAGTCTGGTCATGTTTGAGAGGTCCATTTGGCAGAGCACTTCACTATTACTGGCTGAAATCAGAATGCTTTGCAAAAAGAGGTTGTTGTAATACATACAAGCATTATCAAATTACTATTCTGGTGAAGTTTTATGTCTAATGACCATCTAACAGCAAAATAGCATGTGATCCTCTGCTTCAGAAAGGCAGTAGCTTAGCTAATTGAAGGGCCTTCCAGACTAGAAAGCTGCTTTGACTGTTAAGAGTATTTTACTAACACTGTCAACCAGAACAGTGGGGCCACATGCCAGTACAGCTGAACTGTGGGTGAATTTAGCGCTTCACGACAGATTTAATCTTTAAAGGCAGATTTAATGTTTTAGATCTAATGCATTGTATATTACTGCACTATTTCTAGACAATACTAATTTTCAATTCTTATCATTTTTACTACTATTTGAACACTAAGTAGCATAAAGTGGTTCAGATTAAAGTCAATGCATGGGTAATAGAGTTCATCTACAATAACTTTGAAAATCTCATACAGACTTTTGAGGTACTAAATTCTCATTAATGAATGAAAATAAGTTTAAATATAAATGCATAATTAAATGAAGCCAAAGAAAGCTGAGTCTTGGAAGAAAAACAATGCCCCCTTCTGGAAGAGCTTTATATTCCCCTTATTTTGAGAGGTT